CCACCTAGCGTCGATGTTCAGCCATAGTAGCAGAAATAAGCCGACGTAAAATAACCAAAAAGCTAAAAGCTGAGATACTTTATTATAAAAGTATTAAGCTAATTCCAAATATCTAATCTTAAAGACAAAATTCCTGATTGATGATATTGTGACTAGTAGTTATTAATTATCTAATATAAAAAGTAAAAATAATGTCCATACAGGGTGAGTCAGAAAGAATGGGTCAACAGTAAACTGGAGATACTAGACACCAAAATATTATGTTTGAACTCATCATGCATTATACGAATGTCGCTGGTTTAAGAAATACAGGGTGTTTAAGATTTAAATTTTATTTTGAAATTTCTCAATAATTGGGAAAGTTTTAATAGCATGACTCTGAAAATTGGTACTATTGGGTTTTTTGGTGTGAGAATTATGAATTTGAAGCTTATTTTGACGTTGCTCCTAGAGGGCGCTAGTTCCGCCATATTATTTAGGTAAATCAAAACATATTTTTTTTATCTGTTGACCTATGCTTCAGAAAAGTTAAAAATCTAAAAGAACGTTCAATTCTACATAAAAAGTNGCATATTCCTCGTATGCTTGTTTCAATAGTTTAAACATTTCCGTGAAAGTTTTCTCTATTTTCAAGCAAAATTTTACGTTGCATCGTTGTTTCAGAAAATCGTACATTTCAAAAATCGCCATGTTGCACTCAAATAACAATATCACGAAACCAAATGAGATATCAACAATCCAAGAACACATGTTATAGAGAAGGTTATGCGCAATGCAATGCTGCCAATCGCATATCCCTAAATATCTCCATTAGCGCGTTATTGAAAAAGGTGGGTTATTTTTCGGAGCGGGACTTGTATATGAGTTTTTTTGGTATATTAGTGTGTAATAAATCAGATTTAGTTCAAATATTGAAATAAACCAGTAAAATTGTTAAAATACTCAATATTAAATGAAAATATACCCAATAATTCAACTCAGTGGATTTACTCAGCACTTTTAGTGTGTTCATTTACTCCAACTAATTTGCAGTGTAGGGATATTAAGGACAATAATGGCCACCTATTGGCCACATTAATAGAAAAAAATAAATGTTATTATTTTATCTTATTTTGTAGCAATTCTAGACTAAATGAAAAATATTTTCTTTGCTTTTCACAACTTTAGTTACGCATTATTATCGGTATGAAGAATTAAAATATCAATGTTTATCTTGGCAGTCTATATTTATTACAAGTGACACTAATGATACTTTTAGCGTGATCAGATCTGTGTTAAGTGTAATTAAATGCATTGGTCTGTTTGATACGTTCGATTTTCAATGACTTAATGTTGACACATTTTAAATACTCGTATAGCATTCATTATGCTCATTTCATGAAATAACTTTCTCATGAAAATTGCTAAATACCCAGCCATAAAATTGCTGTAGTATTTAAGTTTTCACTTTTAATCTCATATCAATATTTTTAAAAAAATAATGTAAACCTGTTCAGTAGGAATCGACGATCATGAGACCATTAATAATATATAGGTATGGCAAAACGCACCCACTGGGTTAACGGTCTGGTCTGGCACGAAATTTCAATTTAGCCTAAATGACGAAATATTATTCATGCGAGATTTAGGCATGTACGAGGCAGCTTCAAAAAGAAACCGCAAATTGACAGTATTTCGTGAAAGGAACATTCCAAATGTGTATACACAAAGATATTAGATAATCTGTGAAACTGCTAACTGAACATTGAAGACAATGGAGAGTGTACTTTTGCTAGGTCTTGACACCTTTTTTAAAAATATGTGTTTTATTTTATGAGCTCTAGTAATTTTACTTTAGGTATTATAATGACAAGTGAGGCCTAGCGACTTGACATTCATGTTATCGATATGAAAAGTCAAGCAACACTGATCCCGGTTAGTACTTGGATGAGTGACCATCCGGAGAAGGCTCGCGATGCTCGTCCGGCTTTTAGTGGCCTGTATGTCGGTGTATTCGCAGAAGCTATACTTTATCCGAGGTTTATATGGGAAAACATACCATCCCTCGGAAAGGATGTAAAACCGTGAGTCCCTTGTCTAAACAATGTTAGGCAAGTAAAAGTGAGAGGGTTCGGCAAAATTTCCAGGTTGGAGGTAGCTCGCCACCTAGCGTCGATGTTCAGCCATAGTAGCAGAAATAAGCCGACGTAAAATAACCAAAAAGCTAAAAGCTGAGATACTTTATTATAAAAGTATTAAGCTAATTCCAAATATCTAATCTTAAAGACAAAATTCCTGATTGATGATATTGTGACTAGTAGTTATTAATTATCTAATATAAAAAGTAAAAATAATGTCTATATATTAATAATACTGTCTATATATTAATAATATGTTGTTTTTGCTGAAATTTTTAAATAATGTAATCTTTTCTGTTGCAACATCATCCTTGATAAACACCAAAACATAATTTTTTTTATGGATTTTTGGGAAAAAACTTAAATTGTTTGAATTTACTCATTTATTTTATTCCTAAAATTAAATGTGATTTTAATTCATCGTACGGATTTTGTTATCTCACCCTACTTCCGGACTGCTGGTGGGTATCTTTGTAGTTTTATAACAGACAGATCTAGCTTTCCTTGAATATTATTTAGTGGCGGTAGGTGTGGTTCTCATGAGCGTCATGACGTCAATTTAAAGTTAAAGTTAGGTGAGGAATCATAGGATTAAGGAACTCTAAAATGATTGCGGATGGTCTTGGCGGGTATGAATGATGCATTCCACATATTAAGAACAGTTTTGAGTCTGTTTGATAAATTACTTTGAATATTGTACAAAAAGTGTGAAACAATGGGTAGTTCCGGCTGTACTTTTGGAAGGGATATTGCAGAGACATTCATCTAAAAATTCCTTTATAAATGTCGATATTTCCTGCTTTTTTCAGGATTACAATAAGGAATTAAAAATAAGATTATGATTTGGAAATAACAATACTAGATACAAATATAACATATATTTATAGCAGCATATATTATACAGGGTGTTAATGAACTTATGTCAAATATTTTTGCCACATGCCCGTTATGTCAAAATGAGGTAAATATACGAATTTGTGTTGAGTAAAATGTAAATTTAAAATCTGACTTACCTCAACATTGCAAGGAGCCACCTTTTGAGAAGATTTGCTTGCTTCAGCGCGACGTATCCAATTCGCTCGCACGCGTTGGAACATTGCCACGTCCTCTCGAAACGTATTACAACCACATATTTTGCCGAACATTTTATGACACGTCTTCCAATAACTCCGGCAAGCGATTTTGCAAAAAATCTAGATATTATGAAGCACCGTCTAAGCGCTAGGCAATTTAAAAGGTCCTATTAGAGTGTCATTAACGATACCGGTCCACATGTTCACTGAAAACTGTTGCTGAAAGGCACCCGACGTATTTCGTGTGGATTTTCGATAGTCCAGTGGCGAGTGTTGTGGACGTTACGTACACCATTTTTATTGAAATATGCTTCGTCTGTAACAAGTGTTTGCGCTGTAAATTGAGGATTTCTATTCCTGAAGCAACCATTCGCAAAAATCTCGACATATCGGAATGAGTTGTGCGATATTTCTGGTACTACGATGCGGATGTACTTCACCGGTGTTCAAAACTCTTTGTGCTACAGCAACAAATGTTCTCAGTGCGGGGGCACATCGTTCAGGATATCTCACACGGTACACTTGACAAGCTCTATTGGCATTTTCGTTTGCTTCGTCATAAATTATGAGCATATCATAATAATCGCGATTGCTAAATAAATGTGCTATTTTCAAAAGAAAACTTGGAAATACGCCTATTAAATGTACCTACTCTCGAAAAACAGTACAGCAATCACTACAACAATGTATTATTCTACCAATTGACTTTCGAATACAGTCCGGTTTCATAAGAAACCTAAAACTCGTAAAAAGTGTTACAGAATTTTTTGTAAGTACTCGCCGCAATAAAATACATGTATTTCAGCAGTTCTAAAACAGCTTTGAACACATTTTGAATTAGCCTTTTTCTCTATGACTTTAAACTTCCGATACAAGTTTGTAACATCAGTTAACTCGGTTTTTGCTCCTATTTTACCCCTTTAAATTTTTCACATAAGTTCATTAACACCCTGTATAAACAATGAGGCAAAATATTATAACTAACATAGAATGAGTCGATTAACAATTAACACAATAATGATTATTATTGCAAAGTACATTTCTCAATGCAGTTAGGTACAAAAAAATATTTGTAAAAATTCTTTGAAATGTTGGATTTTGTAATGTTCTCTCTTGATTCTTTTAATTCTGCGTTTAGATCTTTAAATGAATTGTTGTAGAAAGATGCATTGGACATGACGGTGAATTTAAAAAAGTTGTGCATTCCTTGTTGGAAACTATAGAATGTAAATAAAGTGAAGTGAAAACAATATATTTTTTTGCACTGCAACCGACTTTAGGTTTATTGTAGGCCTTTATAATCCTAAAGTTCCTTATCCTCTAATTTTCTTCAGTTTTGATGGCGGCTGTATTACACAGCTTATAGCTTTTAGTTTTTCTCTCTTACTATGTTTGCAATGCCCTGTTAGCAATTCTAGTATGACTTTTCATAAACAAGTCAGTCGTTATTTTCTTTTATGGCCCTTTTAAGAACTCTTTGTTTTGCCATGTCTGAATAAGGGCAAAAGCAGAATAAAAAGAACTTTTTTCTGATTTTATAAAGAAGTATAGTAGAGTAATTGCATAAAAATTACTGAAAGTGTCTCATAATATTAAATTGACTGTTATTTTATACAATATCTCGTTTATAGATTAAGAAAACAGATCATCTCTAAATAAGAAATTCCTTAAAATACATAATCTGTTGGTTCTAAGTAGTCACAAACTGTAGATTAGAATATACATCATTTTCTTTTTATGTATTTTTCGAAACATTATTTTTAAACGCGTACTTATTGTTTTATTGTTTTTAAACTTCTATATTTTCCAGGTTATCCAAAAACTGGCTACTACGGTGATTACGAGGGATATGGCTACTCAGATGGATATGACTTAGACTCGTATTATGGAGATGTCCATGGACATGGATATTGATTGCGGCTGCCCCTCTAAGTCAAATCTTAGGAGTAGTTAAATATATTTTATGATACCTCTTATTCGTTGTACAAATAATTTTTAACAATATTTTTTGTTTGTAAATATAAGACATAGACATATAAGATATGTTAGATTAATTTATTTATAAAATAATAAAAAAGTAATTTGGCCAAAATTATTCCAAATAATTTCTAAATAAATCAATATAGAATTTTTTAAACCTAAAGCAGCTTTTTTCAGTCATTTATACCTATGGTACGTACATACGTATAACAATCGCTTTCGCAAAAATTTTAAAGGAAGCATATCATTTGATATGCTATAACATGATTTAAATGAAGAAAGGTTTCGATTTTTAATCATTTTATTAATTGCCAAGAATATGTAACGTACTTCTCTGACATGTTATTTAAACAAATATGTTTTTGTAGTAGTTAAAAAAGTAATTTTGTTTATATAATATGAACAAAATGGCAGCATAGTTTTTACCTAAATCCCAAATAAATATTATAATTTGTTTGACACCTGGTAGTCCACAGTACAGGCCCCCCCTGGAAAGTTGATTACCACATACTTTATAACTCCTAAGGATCATCCTTTTGACGAGTCTACCACATTTTTCCTCTGCGACTTTTCTCGATTCCTCCGCTTTGCCACTCGGAAAAGTCCAAAAACATGGCAATTTCCCGGAGTCTTGAAAAGTCAAGACCACATCTTTTATTTTTAGCTTAAGTAACTGGAAATTTTGTTGCAAATGCCGATTTAAATTTGTCAGACAGAAATTCTTCCGACATTGACGTATCTACTGGTCGAAACATGCCAAAATAACAGGGTATTGAAAATCAATTATCACATAGGTAATTTTTAGTAAAATTAATTGTAAATAATTAATTCAGCCAAAAAGTATTGTTGTCCGACAAATTTCAAGCCGCGTTTTTTTCAGTCCGACAGCTGAAAATTGGAATTTTCACGGGGTATGATAAATCGATGACCACATGTCGGACAAAAATAACACACGATAGAAAAGTGTTTTTTATAAGCAAAAATTGTAATGTTCGACAAAAATATATCCGCAAATCGTTGTCAGTCCGACAAAAAGTGATTAAAAAAATTTCGTAAAAAATGCACATGTATTTATAATTTCTAATAAGGTATTTTCATGTATTAAGTAGAATTCCATATAAATATACAATACAGGGTATTTCAGAAAGACCTCCCGTAAATACAGGGGGCGAGGACGACAAAAAATAAGAATTTTTTGTTATATGAACTATCTCCTCTTGTTTTCGAGATACAGAGCCACAAAATAAAATTTTCTAAATAACATTTTTATGAAAATTTCCAAACTGTGCGAAATATTTTTATGAAATTTGGTATTCCGAGGTTTTTAAGGATGCCAAATACGATGGTCTAATTATTTTTTGTATATTTCGTAGAGGGCGCTAGTTATGCTACATTCCTATTACATATTAAGTTCTACTTTTTTTAAGGTTAGGTTTTTTACCATTCGGGCTCCAATTTCTAATGTACAATTTTATTTTCTAAAAACAATATACTCTTGTTAGAACTTCCTAATGTGGATGATTTTCGAGAACAAAGACTTTTAATTAAACTCTTACAATATTACGGTGTATAAAATAAGTGACTTTTTTCAAAGCTCAAAGTTACTTTGAGAAAAGTCACTTATTTTATAGTGTAATATTGTAAGTGTTTAATTAAAAGCCTTTTTTCTCGAAAATCGTCCACATTAGGAAGTTCTAACAAGAGTACCTACATTATTTTTAGAAAATAAAATTGTACAATAGAAATTGGAGCTCAAATGGTAAAAAATCTAACCTTAAAAAAAAATAGAACTTAAAATGCAATAAGAATGTAGCATAACTAGCGCCCTCTATGAAATATACAAAAAATATAATTAGAATAGCGTATTTGGAACCCTTAAAACCCCTAGACTACCAAATTTTATTTTATCTCCCTGTATCTCGAAAACAAGAGGAGATAGACATATAGTTCATAAGACAAAAAATTCTCATTTTTTTGTCGTACTATCACCCCCTTTATTTACGGGAGGTCTTTATGAAACACCCTGTAGATATATATTTTTCGTTTTATTCTTGTAATTGTAAATCTCTATATGCTCAATTTAGCCAAATAAATATCGAGAAAAGAATTAACCGATTTCAAAAAAGTATGTATGGTGTAAAAAAATTATGCACAAAAGTTTTGGGATTTTCTTTTAGAAAAATAGGAAAATTTTTGTAAAGAAAAATAAACAAACGCGAATGAAAACTTAAAAGAGAAAAAAACATTTTTATATCAAATATAATATTAATTTATTTAGAAATAATGCATTATGCACTAAGATAGTATTAATCGCCACAAAAATAACTTTTTTTTGTTTATAACTTTTAAATTTTTAAGCATAAAATAAGCAATATTATAATTATTTATTTGAAACAAATAACGATTATTGATTTATTGATTTTTTAATAATTTGCGGACATTAAATCGTCGGACACTTATATCACGATTTTGTACAGTAAATTTAAAAGTGGAAAAAATGAAAATTAGATATGTGGTAATCGATTTTTCATACCCCGTGAAAATTCCGATTTCCAGCTGTCGGACTGAAAAAACGCGGCTTGAAATTTGTCGGACAACAATACTTTTTGGCTGAATTAATTATTTACAATTAATTTTACTAGAAATTACCTATGTGGTAATTGATTTTCAATACCCTGTTATTTTGGCATGTTTCCACCGGCAGACACGTCAATGTCGGAAGAATTTCTGTCGGACAAATTTAAATCGGCATTTGCAACAAAATTTCCAGTTACTTAAGCTAAAAATAAAAAATGAGGTCTTGACTTTTCAAGACCCCGGGAAATTGACATGTTTTTAGACTCTTCCGAGTGGAAAAGCGGAGGAATCGAGAAAAGTCGCAGAGGAAAAATGTGGTAGACTCGTCAAAAGGATGATCCTTAGGAGTTATAAAGTATGTGGTAATCAACTTTCCAGAGGGGGCCTATACTGTGGACTATGGTGCATATGATTAATGTCAACAAGTTATGTATCGAAATAAACAATTTCAAGGTTTTAATCGGAAGTACAAGTGATAGTTGTCCTCATTTATTTAACTGTCGTCTACTAATATCATTAATTCGATCATTAAAATCTTTATTCGCTAGGTACATTCTTAACAGTTTTTGTAACTTTTCCAATCGGATGCTCTTTCGATTATTGTTTTCCTTAAAACTCACATTTAAATCTATGTTCTGGGGAGGATCGTCGTTTTAACCGAAATCCACGTATTCTGCAGGTAGCGCTGGGACCCTCACCTCTTGCTCACTTCCTAAGAGAGAACGGGATTGTCGGACACCTTTTGATGGCACCATCTTCAATGAATGCCGGGAGAAGAGCGAGTCTCACTAGTCGGTTATTCTTCATTGTGACTGCATGTTCTGCCTAAGGCCTATAACCTAGATACATCCCTGGAATGGTGTTGGCTTTGCTATTGGCTTTCAACTAAGTCTTTTTCTACACTATAATGTTTTTGGGTATTTGCAGCATGGTTACTCTTGTGTCTATATTTGTAAACTTTACCTTGCCTAACTACTATTTGTAGGCATTACTTTGTCTAAGCACTTTATGATGTAGGTGTTCTTAGAATATCTAGCTTCTTAGTGTTTATTTTAATTAGGAACTGCACTACAGGCATAGAAAGTCCTGAATGGAGTTTGGGTTATCCCGTAGGATTTCGTTGCAGGGTCAGAAACTTTTGGATGGATTGATTGTTAGGATTGGAGCAGGGCTCTCTTGAAAAGTGTTCTTCTATCCTTACTTTTAAACTGAGAAAATCTAGGTCTGTTAAGTGCATATAATGCAATTAGTAAAGAATTTGGATCGAATAATCTATATTGGCCAGGTATCAGTCCTTGGTTAATAAATTATAAGGTACCAGGGTAGACGTTCATTACCATGCATAGTGATTCCGCCGAGATTCTATCGAGATGTTCGCATTGGGATTCCACTTTAGGCCTGTCTGTATTTTAGGTGTCCTACGGCGAAGTCGGTCCATACTGGCATCTGGGATTATCCTTTAGTGTGGTGATTAAAAAATTGAGGTTCCACTATTCGAATGTCACAGCGTTCGGTGAACTTTTCAGTTTCCAAAATTCGAAACTGGATAAATCTTTCGCTATCGCTCCAGTAGTCGGTCGCTTTGGCAATAGCATAGGCCTCCATCGGTGTTGTCTGCTGCCGCTTTGGTCGTTGGGAACTGTTGGAAGCTTCGTGGAGGGCTCTGACGGAAATTTTCGAAACCTAATCGATGGTTTTGAAAATCGATAATTATTGTTGCCAGTGTTGTCATCATGTAGATGAACTATGGATACCTTTATAATTCAGATTGGAAAATGTTATGAAATTCCCAAAATTTACTAGGGACTGAAATATTGTAGTGTAACTTTCTCTGTTTATAACACATGCCTTTTTTCCATTAGGGTGGTACATTCTTTTGTGTAATGTACGTGGAAATATAACCACAAAAATATTTTCATAAATGCACATAATCCATGAAACTTGAGAACATTTTTTTTTAACTATAGTGAAAAAAAAATGTTCTCAAGTTTCATGGATTATGTGCATTTATGTAGTAACATTTTAATTTGTCAATCGCATATTGCTTTACACTGACAATTAAAGTTTTCAAAGATGAAAAATATGCTACAAACACTATGTGGTATGATGATTCACTCAAATAATATTGACGATAATGCCAATATTGCATTTTACCCACATATTTCGTTTACTATGTGCTTTCTTTAATTAGATATTTTGAAGGCTGAATTAATATTTAAAAATTAGCTGATCATAAAATTAAAAAAAAACATGGTGACACATCCTAAAGTGCTCCAATACTTACAATGAGGGAACTGGGGAAATGATTTTCATTATTCTCTTGACTAAGCTCAAATATCTGTATTTATCAAAAGTTTAGAAACATGAAACTTATCTCCCATTAAATTTATTATTAAAGAAACAATTATAAAACACGGATATTCTTCAAAGAACCCTAAAACCGCAAATGATAAAATATTCATTAACTTTTATATTTACCTAGAGAAAAAAAGCATATGTGAAAAAATTACATACAATTTTGGAGA